TTTTGATTCAGAGTTGCAGACTAGTTTGCAGCTTCAGAGCTTGGAGCTTAATACAGAGCTATGCCCAGACTCCTTCCAGTTTCAGTTTCCAAACAGTCCTCATTGGCTGACTTAGTTGCTAAGCCTATTCATTGGCTGATTTAGTTGCTATGCCTCTGCCTGCCAGTTCATGAATATTCTGACACAGATGTGGTTAGGAGGGCCTTTGCCCAGCTTCTAATATGCTAGCTGTGCTCATTTCTGGATGAGGAGGCACTGTGCTCAGTCACTCGTGTTCAGGTCACCTTGGATATGTATTGCTCTAATATTTTCTGTAATATGTTGTAATGCATGGGGCTGCCCTTCAACTGTATTTTGAAGCTTCAGTTGGAGCAAAATGCAGCAGTACAAGCAGTTACGTGTGCAATTAGATATCTGAATGTTACAGCCCTGTTTCATGAGCTGCATTGCACACGCATGTTCACATTTTTGGCAAACTGGTTGTTAAACCAGTTGCAGCCCTCCTCTGGATATAACCAACAATTCGAAGTGAGAGAAGCATGCATGTCCCTAGCATAATTTTCTATATACCTAAATGCAGAGAAAGTTTGTTTATTTTTAAAAATGTTGGATTATTACTATTGTGAAGCAAAACAAAACAAAGTGTGTTTTTAAAGAAACATTAAAGCAGCAAATAATATTTTTATACTGATTCACTGACATTTGGGAGAAAGAAAGAGTAAGTTAATTTCTATTTTTATTTCAACAACAAATGTTCCTTAGTATTCAAATCTGGTCTTAAGAAAATAATGTAGCACTTGGGGATGAAAATGAATCCTAACAGGCTGGCACTGGAGGCCAAGATGGAGAAGACCTGCACAGCCACCATGTATTTCCCTTTGGTGCTCAGGTAAGTAGGTACAAAGGTTATCCAGACACTGCAGAAGACCAGCATGCTGAAGGTGATGAGTTTGGCTTCATTAAAAGTCGCAGGTAGATTTCTGGCTAGAAAAGCCACAGTGAAGCAGATGGCAGCCAAGAACCCCATATAGCCAAGGACATGATAGAACATGGCAACAGATCCTTCATTACATTGTAAGATGATCTCTGCAGATTGTGAGTTCATGTCCACCTCAGGGAATGGGGGAGAGGTGCCCAACCAGATGCTGCAGAGGACAACTTGAACCACAGAACAAGAAAAGATAATAGAATTAGCCAGGCTCTTCCCTAGCCATCTCTGCACTTTATTCCCTGGTTTTGTGGCCAAGAAGGCTAGCACTACCATGAATGTTTTGGCCAAGATGGTAGAAATGGCAACTGAGAAGATGTTGCTGAAGGCTGTTTGTCGAAGAAGGCAAGTAGCTCTCCTTGGTTGGCCAATGAACAGGAATGAGGACAAGAAGGAGAGCAAGAGGGAGATGAGAAGGATATAGGAGAGATCTCGATTGTTGGCTTTGACTATGGGAGTTTCTTGGAATTTCATGAAGACTCCCAAGACTAATCCTGTTACCAAAGACAGGAACAAGGCAAGAGAAGCTAGGATGATCCCCAAATTTTCTTGATAGGATAGGAATGTTTCAGTCTTAGGTATACAAGCATTTTTCTTGATGTTTGAATACTGATTTGCTGGACATTTGGCACATTTTTCAGCATCTGAAAAGAGCAAGAATAACATTTGCTGTAGAGCATGTTTTTCAATCACATCCTTTGTTGGAGTGAAACTGGTGATGGGATGGATGAGCATGTGGAAAAAAGCGGCATGCAATAGTGGTTGAAAACTTTAAATAGTATAATGAGGAAGAAAAGTGTCAAATGCAAATGAGATTGTGTGCCATGCATTCCCAGGACAAGCTGTGACTGCTTTCAGAGGTGCATTGTTTGCATCCCATATTCCATGAACCCCCTTTTAGAGCTGAAATTGAAAGCACTCTGCAGCACTCCTAGTAATGTCCCATGGAGAACTGGTCATTGGAAATGCCTATCTCAATCAGATGAAGGAATAGAGAGTTGGAGTGATGACGCAGGGCTTGGCATAAAGGCCACTCAGCCAGAGAATTAGTACGAGACCTTTCATTAGTTCCAACTTTGCCCCCAATGCCCTGGTTACCTTCCAGTCTGGAGAAAAACTCTTCCACGAACCTGCAACAGTCTTTGGCTGCAGATATTCCAACCCAAACATTGTAAACCAAAAACTTTAAATTATAAATCCAACAAGGCAAAATAAGGTAATAAATCCAGCAGGGCAAGATAAGGAGTTCCAGAGGTGAAGAAACATGGCAGTAAATTAAACCAGTTGAGAGGATGCCAGGAACTCAGATAACAGCAACCAACGTTAGATAAACTCAGCAATTGTTCTCAACAACCACCCCACTCATCTGCCTCTCCTTGAAACTCCATCCCCAGGTGTGCCTTGTGAAGGGAATCAGGGCCCTTTCCTCCCTCATAAGCCATGCAACCGACGTTGCTCTCTTCTTTGTTCTTCTCTGCATGCCCTAGGATGAAGAGTGGGTGAACCTTGGTCTTCCTCTCAACTCCCTTTCCCTTGTTCTACCTCTCCCCTGCTCTGCCCAGCCTGACTTTGCCCTTCCCCAGTTTCCTCCACAGCCAACCAGCCACTCTTCTGTTCCCTGTCAGCTGTTCATCTTCCTCCTTGGATTCAGATACAGACCATTTCCTCAGCAATCCCTGTGTGTTAAACAGCTGGCACATGGCAATCTGCTGTGCCATACAAATCAGCAGCATGTCAACTTGTAAAAGATTCCTACAATTGTTTCCAAGGGATCGCTGGAATCCTGACACTGAGTTTGAAAAACAGGATACAAAGCACAGCCTTGAGCCTGGCCAGGTGGGTGGGCCCAACAGCTGATCATCGGAGCAAACTGAACCAGTTTGCTCCCAGCTGATCCTCAGAGCTACCAGGTGGCCCGAATCAAGCCAAACTGGCAGAATCCCACCCCTGCATAGAATCAAGATCACATGAAGTATTAGTACCACTTTACAAAATCCTAGTAAGACCACACCTGGAATACATCAACCAATTTTAGTCACAATACTACAAAAAAGCTGTTGAGACTTTGGAAAAGGTTCAGAGAAGAGCAACTAAGATGATCAAAGGCCTGGAGACTAAAGCATATGAAGAATGGCTGCAGGATTTGGGTTTGGCTAATCTAAAGAAAAGAAGAATTAGGGTAGACATGATAGAAGTATTCCAGTATTTGAGGGGCTGCCACAAAGAAGGAGGGGCTCAAATTATTCTACAAAGCACCAGAGGGCAGGACAAGAAACAATGGTTGGAAACTAATCAAAGAGAGAAGCAACCGGGAATTAGTGAGGACAATTAACCAGTGGAACAGCTTCCCTTCAGAAATTGTGGGTGCTCCATCACTAGAGGTTTTTAAGAAGAGACTAGACAGCCATTTATCTGAAATGTTATAGATTCTCATGTTTGAGCAGGGGGCTGGACTAGAAGACCTCCAAGGTCCCTTCCAATTCTATTCTATTCTATTCATCTATGAACTTCCCAAAAATCTGCCTCTTTTGTCTGGTGTCACGCACCTTCCATGGTAGAGATGGTTCCTTCCGCACAAGGATGACAATCATAGCAGCAAATGGGTCTCCCTTCCTGGGGCACCTTTTTAAATCCAGGATGACAGCTTTCCACACACTTGGAAGGAGGAAGGGTCTAAAGAGAGAGAGAAAATGCTCAGAAAATGAACTCAGTTTCAAAAAAATCTGAAGTTCATCAAACACATGGTTGGATATTCCATCACTGTTTCTCTTCCTTTCTAATGTTTCATATACTCTACAGATTTAGACTTTCACATGAAATATAAATGTTAAAATTATCAAGGGACTGTTGGATGAACTTTTTGCTTTTCTAAGTAAATGATCTTACCTATTTAACTGGCTCAATCTATTTCATTTCCACAGATTCAAGGAATAGTTTGTATGGATAATGGAGACTATATTTTTCATGGCCGGCTGAATAATCAACAAATAAGAATTTTGCACTCTGGTCAGCTGACATGAAAACTCAAAGCAGGCCTCCCCCCATCCCAAAAGTTTAAAAGTTGTTGCACTTTCAGTGGAAGAAAAATAAATATTTATCCCACCTTATTCAGCATTTCGAACTGTGTAATACCCTTCTGATCAATGGAGAATTTCAAATGCTGGGATGTCAGTTTTTCTAGACTCCCAGATTTAATTCTCTTGACAGATTTGTTTGGGAAAACAACCCAGTTCACAATGTCCAGATCAGCTGTCAGATCTCCCTTTTCATCCAAATATACTCCTTCTATGGAATGATTGTGAAACTGGGAGCTTTGAAGGAAGGAATGAAGCTGAAATGCAAAAGAAAAAAATTTATAAAGGACATTAGGCCTTCTTTGAAAATACCCCTTGGTTTATGCTGGGAAGGATGTAAATATTTCTCTTTCTGCCTATTTTCTGTTTCCAACTTGTTTAGGAAAGTATCAATAAGCATAGGAATAACAGTCACTATAAACTAGCCAATGGACTTGGCATCTACTCATGTTCCTCTTCCCAGTGCTTTAATCACAGAAATACTAATATACAATTCCTCTAAAGGCAAACAAACAATTTTTCTTCATTTTTATTAACCTAAAATTAATTGACAAATATTAAAATAAAAGACACATTTCTGCCATGAAGTTTTTCCTTTAACCTGAGAGATGTTTTGTAATTTTTTTGCATATCATCAATCTTTCCCCAGTAAGTAATGGGGAAGTAAAAAAAAAAAAAGGACTTACTGGAGTAGAGCCTAATGGTGGGAAAGATTGAGCAATAGAAGAAGGGGACGACAGAGAATGAGATGGCTGGATGGAATCACTGAAGCAGTTGGCATGAGCTTAAATGGACTCCAGAAGGTATTAGAGGACAGGAAGGCCTGGAGGAATGTTGTCCGTGGGGTTGCAATGGGTTGGACATGACTTCGCAAATAATAATAATTTCCCCACTTGAGTTGGGGAGTTCCACATTTCCCACTTCCTCTGTTGTTCTCTACTGAAGACCAATGACTTATCATGAGACGTATAACTGATAATCCAAAAATATTGGTCCACAACTTATCTCTTCCTATTAAGACCTTCCTTTTTTAGGTTGGAGAGAATTACCTGTTTCTCTCCAATAATCTAATGTGTAATCCGACGCTCTTATTAGTGTGATCTAAAAGGGTGGCTGAACAACCAAGATATCAATGTACTCACTTTGAAAGAGATAAAAATAAAACAGGAAACTTGCCAAAACAAGGACCAACGTGAATGGAAAGGAAAGTGAAGAAAATGGAAGGTTCAAGTTAAATTGGAGTTGACTTTTTTAGTTTAGTTTAGTTTACTTCATTGTCATTGCACCTTGTACAACAAAATCAAACACCATCTTCTATGCACATCAAGACCATGAAAATAAACACAAACACACATCCTTCACACTCCACACACTGAATTGAAAACCCTCGACACCGCACCAACAGTAGAATTCAACAGAGCTACTGCCCTGGGATAGAAGCTGCTTTTCAGCTGTTTGTCCTTGTTTTTATTATCCTGTACCATCGGCCAGATGGTATTAGTTCAAAAAAAGGGTGCCCAGGATGAGATGGATCTTTGAGAATATTTTGAGCTTTCTTAAGGCAACAGGAGCTATAAAGCTCTTCCAAGGAGGGGAGAAGGCAACCCATGATCTTCTGGGCAATGACATTAACCCTCTGGAGTGCTGTCCTATCTGCCATTGTGCAGTTGGCAAACAGACCCAAGGTGTGATTAGTTAAGATACTCACTATGGTTTCTAAAGAAAGTATAGTCTCTATACTTTCAAGATAATTTAATTTTTCAGACTAAGTAACCAAGGCATTCTGTCAGATCTGTATATCTGTCATTTCTTCGGTGGAAGAAGAAAAGGGGGGGGAGACTGATAAAGAAATCCTTTCTTGATGTAACCTGAATATATTTAATCTTATATCAAATTTGTATAACCTACACATGATACAATGGAGGGAGGAAACCCAGATGGCTGGAACCTATCACCTCTGAGAGGCACAGCCAGGAGATGAGAAGACCATAAAAATTCCACAGTGAGATGTGTCCTGGGAACCTCTGGAAAAGTTCATTCTGAAAGGGGGTGGGGGGAAATTAGGTATGCCCTGGGAAATTGTGAAAAAGATCATTCCTTACAAAAGGTGGGGGGATTAACATACTGGCTTTTGTTTCACTAAATACACATCAAGGTAGGGGGAGGGGTTCTAAACTCCCTTATCTCTCCCTGTATGCCTGAGAGACCTTAGACGCTGCTTTGAACTCCTATGTGAATTGTCTCATCTTAACAAAGGATTCCTTTTGATACGTTTGGTTTTCAGAAGTTCATTCTTGTTAATTGAATGGGAAAAGTTCTGTAGCCTGACATAAAGCAGCATCTGCAATAGAGGTCAGCCCGGAGAGAATTTTTTTTTTTTTTTTTAAGAAAAAAGAAAGAAAGAAAACCTTTCACTCTACCAAGGGGACTCTGAAAAAGAAGAAAAATGTCTGAATGCAGCAAGGAGCAAGGGGGAGCCAACTGCTGGGGAGAAACGTTAACACTTACCCAGCCAGATACAAACTTGGTGCACTCCATTGAAGACAGCGAAGCTGCCTGCGAAACCTCCACCAAGCCCCAGTGGTCTATAGGTGTAGGAAAAAGAGACAGCTGGGATGGAAAAACCAGAGGAGTAACCCTCACCCAGGGTAATCATAAACCAAGGTGGAAATTGGAGCTGGAGGCCCTATAGGCTCAGGAAGAATGGGGCAAGGAGCCACCGGCTGACAACCGAATGAGATGGTATATAAATCGCTTTGTGAGGGAAGCCCTGGAGAACCTCGAGGTGAGGGATGCACCAGGATGACGACGCAGGAGAGCAAGGGAACCAGAAAATGAGACAACCCAAGCCACCACCCGGAACCAGTGGAGATTGATTGGGCAGAGGGACAAGTCGAAGAACCAGCAGCCATACCAGGTAGCCAACACTTAAATGCCCCAGGTCAGGGGATTAACCCTGGCCAACCCAGAGATATACAACTGCAGAGGAAGATCCCTCCCTTGGGGGTAAAATTCAATGGAGACCCCCAGAAACTGGGATTTTTCCTGGTGCAAATGCTCACCTACATGCAAGAATATGGGGGGAATTTCCCAACTCAGGGGTCCCGAGTACGAGTTGTCACCCTGGCCCTTGAAGAGGCAGCAGCCAGGTGGATGGTGATGCTCCATAACGTTAACACCCCAGAATTAAGGAACATTGATAACTTCATGATGGACTTACACCACCGCTTCGAGGCCCCCCTCGATGGTAGAAAAGCCTGTGACCACATTAGAGTCGTAAAATAAGGCCGTCACCTGGTAGCGGAATACACTGAGGAATTTCATTACCTGGCTGGCCGGGTAGACTGGCCAGAAGATATCCTAGTCTGTTGGTTCAAAGATGGACTAAATGACTACCTATACACTGCCTCCCTGGCCCATGGGGCCCCAAACTTCCTGCATGAATGGTACATGATGGCAGAGGAGGTGGAGATAGACATGACTCAAAACTGGTACCGCACTGGCAAGTTTTGGAAAAGGTTCCCACCCCAGGGGAAATGGGAAGTCTTCAAACCCCAATCCACCATGACCCCAAGAACATCTGGTTGCTTTAAGTGTGGAAAGGAGGGACACCGTGCAGCAGAATGACATTTGAAGAACCCTGCCAGAAAGCTAGACCACCCATTGGGGGGAAACCTGGAACATCCAGCCCTCGAGGAAAGGAGACTAGCCTGAGAGGCTCAGTAGCTGTGGGATTCTGATCCCCCCCAACTCTGAGGAAGAATCCCAAATGCTCCATGGGGACCTGAGCCAGTCCAAAAGTGATCCGGAAAATGACCCGCTTGTAAGCAATCCCATTGAACCAATCATCCTATCCCTGAGACTGTTTATCCCCAGCCAAGGGAAGGGGGAGATGGTTGCGGCATTGCTGGATTCAGGATGCAGCCAATGCCTAATAAACCCCTCCCTTGCAGATAAATTGGGGATCCAACCAAAAGAAATGGAAAATCCCATCACTTTCTGCCAATTAGATGGAACTATAGTGGTGAGGGGCGGGGAGCCAGCCAGGTTTACCACAGAACCATTGAAAATAAGACTAGGGAACCATGGTGAGATGCTCACATTCATTGTAGCCCCAGGAATGGAAGAGCTGCTGGTCCTAGGTCTCACATGGCTGTGGAAATGGAATCCAAAAATACATTGGAGGAAAGGAACCATACAATTCCAGAGAGACGTAGTATGTGCAAAAAGCTCAGAGGAAAGAATAAAGAAAGTGACAGAGAACAGAGAATCAGCCATGGACAGACAGTCAGCTGAACCCATTAACATCCCCAATGAGTACCACGACCTGGCCCAAGCATTTAGTGAGGAAGTTTGTGATGAACTCCCATCCCATCAAGCCACAGACTGTGCTATTGAAATCCTACCAGGGGCTAAACTCCCAAAACCACAAATGTACTGCATGTCTCCCAGAGAAATGAAAGAACACAGAGCATTTATCGATAAAAATTTAAAAGGGGGCTTCATTGAACCCACCCAGTCTCTATACTTTCAAGATAATTTAATTTTTCAGACTAAGTAACCAAGGCATTCATTTCAACAACTGATTCCCACATGCAGGGGAAACATATCTAATGGAAAAGAAATACCTGCCATGCCTTCACTTTTGGAGCTTCCACCTTCACCTCCCTCTTCCTCACTGATCTCTTGAATGTGGATATATGAGCTGAATTTAAGGACCTTCCCAAACCCCAAATGGTGTTGGAAATGAGGTAGCTGTCTAGAGTCAGGAGCTGATCGATCACCTCTTTCCTGAGAGGCTCCAGTTCTTCTCTCTCCCTGCATCGTCTCCAAACTTTCACTGAAAAGGCATCCTTAGCACATGAACATGTAAAAGTTTTCTCCAAAAAGTTCAATAGGGATTTGGCAATAATCTCAAAATCATTATAATTTGCCCATTTCCTTTTCTTTATCAGGAAGGAAAAAATGCCAGCAAGGTGTTTCAAGGAATAGACACTAAACATAAAATCAAGGCTGAGATCCCACTGAGCTGTTGTGATCCAGACTTTATCTACAATAT